CAGGTGACAGTGGGGACACAGGGGGGTCCTGGCGCATCCCCCCCGTGAGGCAACAGAGGGGACTTGGAGGGGGCCCCCCCGGCCGCTTCAAGTGGAGCTGGGATTTGGCCCCCGCTCCAGCGCCCGCAGCGGGAACTTCCCGCCGGAGCTCAGGGCTTTGCCCAGATGTTTATTTAAAATCGTCCAAAAAACATAACCCGGAGACGACGGTGCCGGCGTCGCGCCGGGCCCGCCGCCCACGGGCCCTCCCGGGGCTGCCCGGGGGCCGGGACTCACCCACGGCCACCGCCCCGCCTGGAGGGCGCTGGGGCAAGAAGGGGAACAGCGCGGGAGCCCCGGCACCGGATCCGGGGAAAGGGCAGGAAGAGCCGGGACTGCCCCCTGTGCCCCCCTCACTCACCTGGTGCTCCAGGACGGGGCGCAGGACCTCGGGAAGGTGCCGAGCGTCTGGGAAGGGCTCGGGAAGCTCAGAGGCAGCGCAGGGAGGGCAGATGGCAGCTCCCCTCCTCGCTCCCCCCGCATCCATGGGCTAATTCCCTGTCTGAGCCCCCAGGGCCCCCGGATTTCCTCCCCTTCATCCCTCCACAACCCACTCCGGGGAGCTCCAATTAAGGAGAATTAGCAGCAAGCGGCGCCCTGGGAGCAAAGAGGATTTGGGGGACGGGGACTGTCCCCAAGCGGCTCTGGGCCCTTCTGGGCACCAACAGCTGCTCACGGTGCCGCTGGGGGCTGAGGGGGGGTTAAGAGGAAGGTCCAGGATCCAGTCACCTCCCACACCGCATTCCCGGGCACAGGACGTCGCGTTGCACAGGGAGAGACCCTGGTGCCGAGGGAGAGACAGGGCCAGCGCGCGTGAATAAAACCAACTTTTAATAATGTACAGCAGAAATCGACAGCCTTGTTTTATATTAAACAAAAGATTTCCTATATTACACCATATTTACAGTTGCATACTGAAGAGGTAAAGTGTCTAAGTGGCTATTTTACAGTCCATCTCTAATAAAATGTACAAAAACCAAAGGAGGAGGAGGGGCAGGTTAAGTACCAAGAGATCTGCTCTGTGGGACCCCGCGGACCGGAGCCTCCCGTGCCCGGCTGGACCTGGCACCGCTTCGTCTTGCCCAGGTGGTGCTGGATGCGGAGCTGCAGCTACCTTGGAGCCAGGATGGGCTGGGGAGCCGGGCAGGGATGCGGCTCCAGGCTCCGGCTCTGCACTGGCTGTGGCTCCCCGGGCGTGAAAAGTGCTCGAAATGCTACATGGGCAGCGTTCCCGGCAGGAATCCCGCTCCATCCCGCGGCGCTGGGCAGAGCGGGAGGCAGCTGCATGGGTGGCTACAGAGGAGCGGGCCCGGGGGCCGCGCAGGGTTCGGAGCCGGGTTTGGCATCCGGGAGAAGCAGCCAGGAACGGGCGATGGGGGCCACGCGGGGCCGACCGCGACGCTCGCGGCCCTCGTACCTAGTTTGCCGTGGGCTTCCCGGATCCTGCACGCGGAGGGACGCAGGAGCCGCCCGGGAAGCCCTGGCCGAGCAAGGAGGCGGCAGGAAGGGCAAAGGGAAGCGGCACATTCACCAGGCGGCCACGGCTCCGCGGGCGGCTCCGCGGCGCGATGCAAAAAAAGGGCTCCAAAGAGGATGCAAAAAACACCGCGCACTCGACACAGATAAAAATCACAGACAAGAGAGGGGTCTGGGAGAGACAGACACACGGCTACACAGCAAGAACAGAGGGTTTACAAAGAGGAGAATAAGGGGGAAAAGGTTGACCCCGGTGGTCGGAGCAGAGATGAAACCTCACCTTACAGAGCAGGCGCGAGGTCTGAGTAGAAACAGTTCCAGTGTAAATCGAGCTGTGTGCATTTGGTTGTTTTTTTTTTCCTTTTTTTTTTTCTTTTTTTTGCAGTAATTTCTTTACAAACAAACAGGTTGAGAGGTAATAACTATAGATTGGTTTTCTTCTCTTATAAAGAATTAACAATATTAAAAAAAGTTAAAATCCAGACCCTCCCGTAAAATAAAAAAATAATCAAAAACCACTCCAGTTAAAAGTTATGGCTTCAGAGTTACACACCACGGACACCGACCCGGCCGAAGAGCAACCGCTGCCTCCAGGAGCGCCCGGAGCGGCCCTCGCGCGACAGGTTCCGTCCTCAGCTACGTGCTAAGCCCGGCTGCAGACAACAGTCAAATCAACTCTATCCACCCTGATTGGTTATTAATTAAAATAAAATTCATGCAAGTTTCCCCCCACCCCACAAGTTATACACAGCCACTTCCAGATTATGAGATATTTATATATGTATATTAAAAAGGGGGAGGCTTCTTGCCCAGCCCGCTGGCGGTGCCGCCCGCGATGGGGACGGGGGCTCGGGGGTCGCTCCTGCCCCGCTGCTACCGGGAATGACAA